ACGCACATTAAGGCAAATTGACTGTGAACACAATTAGTCACAGTGAAACAAACATATCTCAAAAAACTTGCACATGTTTACAGTAAACATTAAAACCATCATCATCTAACGCAGCAGATTCTTTTACATAAAAATCTTCATTCTATCCATTTTGAGGGGAAATGTCTTTTAAAAAGCTTTTCGTTCATCCAAAAGACAACCCAAAAAAGAATTTCTTTCCTAGTGCTCCTGAAGATTGGCAAAATTGGCAGTCCATTATTTGCAGACTTCAGTGACTACATTTTAGCAAAGCACATTTTCTGTTAGCTTTGCCAAAGTCTGTATTGAAGACTGGACATACACAAGTCAGCTCCCCCACCTTTCCTCAGTCATCAACTGTAGACAATATCATCGTCGTCACTATTAAACACCTGGAGATCTTACTGCTGCGCAAAGATTATCTAGCTTCAATGTTTTGCTCTTTATTTTTGTTTGGCTTTCTTCCGTCTCCCAGTGAACCTTTGGGCGCTCAGAGCTCACCCACCTGGCAGCAAGTAGCCAAGTGACATAGTGAATCAGCCAGCCTCCACCCCACTCCTCAAGCCTGCTGCCCTGGTAGTGCTGCATTTCTTCCATCAGGGAAACAAACTGCAGCACTACAGCCCCACTACTGGATTACTCTGCCTCCTAGCTTTAAAAGGCCAGAAAACAGAGAGAAGGCCTAGCACGTTAGAAGACATAATGCACTGCTGCTTTTCCTCAGCAGGGACACACACACAAACAAACAAACACAGGGATGTTCATCCTGGTTCTAGTGAGCATATAATAAATGCCACTGCTATTTCATCCAGGTATCAACACAAGGCTTTTGTTCACATTGCAAAGGCCCAAACCTGAGCTACCACTAAACCAACCAATCTTCATACCAAAGAGTGTATCTGTAAGATGTACACTCGAAGCACATTTTGTCATAGTCGCATTTCCTGTTTCAAGGTGTACACCCAAAAAGGTGATGTGTGAAAAGAAGGGCAATGATCCACAAACTTTTCAAAACATTCAGCAAGGGTGCATGCCTGATAACACCCAAGTATTTCTTATTCATGCTCAAAGAGGCTCAACTGTGTCAACACACAACTTCAGCATCTTAGCTCCAGCTCAAGATGGCTCGAAGTGGCTGGCAGTGATCAGGAGGATGCGTACTGATAAGGCTTTTCCTCATGGCACAACTCCATCAGTGCTCAGTCAGAAGCAGCACTGGCAAAACAAAAGCTAGTTCTCCGACAATAAATGCCTTAAGCCTGTGCGCAATGGAGCCGTATACGTTCTGCTCAACCAGCAATGGAAGCTCATATTAGTCCCACGCCAAGACAACCCTGCTATGGGAAAGAAAGATTTAAGATCCTGGGCTGTCTATCAACAGTACTAAGAGAAGCTTTGTTGGAATTTCAAGTCTCTTACTTCAATTACTTCCTTATGTGTTGATTATAGCACTGGGATTAGCTTTACAACCCTTCTGCCAAAACTGTCAAGGCAAGCTGCAGCTACATGCCTCCTAGATATGACGAGGATTGTGCAGCTTGAACTTTTGCAATAGCGCAGGCTCTAAATCTTTTTTTAAAAAACTGATCCAAGATACAGGGAACTCCCCCAGGAATACAAATAAAAAGTCTTCCAAAACTTATCCAAATTCTGCACTGGCAGACTCCTTTATTGCCTCGTGCTTAGTAACAGCCAGGTCAACAGAAAGGGGAGAGAGCAGTGCCACCAACCTTTTGTGTACTTTAATACCCTCAAAGAATGGAAGCCAGAGAAAGCAAAAATTTCTAATAAATATTATCACCCCCACCAAATAATCATGTCACCTATATTTCCCCATTTGTAAACTTGGGAGATCGGGGAGGGGGCAGCATGGAAAAAAGAACCATTTCAAGCACTTTAATATAAACTGAATTTCAGATCACGAATGTGTTCAGAACTGTGGAGCTGAAAATCATCTAGTGCTTTGTTGTTCTGCCAAAAGATTTCAGAAGGGTCATGGTTTGACAAAACAATGAATTAATGCCATTGCTAATATACTACTGTGCAAGCATGTCAGTTTCAGAGGTGTAATTAATGTTTTTCAGGGGATTAACCCAAAGAATTGTGTTCAGAGTACATGCGTATTTTATTGGTAATGCCACATATACATAACAATCCCCCTCCCCAAAAAACAACAAGAGCTGAATTCTCCTGATTGGCTATCCAACATCCTTTCCACCATGTGAGACATAAATAGTGACAGTTTTGGCTGTGCAGGTCAAATAAAAAACTAACCTGGGCCCCGGTGACATGGGCCGGATATCGCCCGGGGGGGGGAGGCGTGGCTAATTGCACCGGCGCAGTTTGATCCGCGATTACGCAATCAGACTCGCCGGCGGCACACCACCGGTCCTTCCCTCGGCGCCGGCAGGTAAACGAGGGACTGGAGGGGAATGCTGTGCGCTGGCGCGATCACACCGCAGGGGTCTGGAGGCAGCCCATGGCAAACGTTTACTAGTACCTTGGAGGTACTAGTTTTTTAACTCACATTGTCGGCGGTAAGCCACGGGTGCGCTCCACTTCCCAGATGTTGGGGTGTGATCGCGCCTGGATAATCCACCCACCATCCGTGCCTCTCCTGCGGCAACTTTGCCGTGTGACTGGGGCCCTGGTATGGAATTAATGCAAGCGATGCTACAGAGACTGACAGTGAAACTGAGACACACATACACCCTCCCCCGTGATCTCTGCTGAAGATCATCAAATTCTGCTGACATGGATGAACACACAATCATGTCCGTGGCATATCCTACACAGTTCATGGGATGTGCTTAGAAGCTGACACTAAGAACATTTATCAAATGCAAACCAAAATAAACATGAAAAATCAAATCACACTCTGTTTAAGGCACTGCATAACTGCACTCATCCTATATGCATTTTAGCTTGACACAGAACACGCCTCCTCTATATCACAGACATCTGACCACTCTGCTTAAAATGTCCGTCTATGAACATTTATCAACCAACTTTCAGGCATCTGATGAAACAGACTCTAGTCCACAACAACTTATGCCACAGCAAAGCTGTTTGCCTCAAATATGCTACAAGTCACCTCTTGCTTTTTCCTCAATTCTAAATATGCCAATCACACTCTATTTAGGCTCATATGTAGATTTTCTTTCACCTTGTGCAGCCTCACCCAACACCCCATCATAACTTGAGAGCGCACATTCAACGGGTAATGTTCTGCCTGTGTCAATGTTCAAAGCAAAATAAGACTCTCTCTCCAGAGGCTCTGACAGAGGAAGCAAACATTTTAAAACAAAACTTGCCTCCCAGACCCACCCCTTTGCCACGTTTTCAAGAACGTGTTAAAAAATTTTTTATGCATCTGGGGTATGTGTCTGATGAAGTGAGCGAGCTCTGAATCACAAACAGCGTATACCGGAATTCGTTCTGCTAAACTTTTAAGGCGCCACCGGACTCCTGTTTCATTTTGCATTAAAACAGACCAGAGAAATAAAAACTACATCCCAATCCCAGAAGATGACACCTGTTGGCATCCTTCCTGAAGTGAGCTGCGAAATTACTTTTCTCTGATTAGTCACTGCTACGTTGGTGACTGCAAGCCAGAGACAGCAATCGTTGAGAAACAGAACAAAATTAAAGTGTTTGAAGACAGCAAGAAAAAGTTAAGGGGGATAAAGAAACAGTGTTGGGAACCCATATTTCTCAGTGAATAACCGAATACAGCCAGGCAAGCCTAGGGGAAGATGCCTAGGAGACCAGGCCTTTTGGGGACATACCAATGAAAGGGAATCCCGGGTCACAGCATCTAGGGTTATTACAAAGTCAGAAGGGTGATGTCAGTGGTCAGTGCATGCACAGCTATCAGAGCTTCGTTTATCCATTAACACACTTAGCCACCCTTTTGTAAACAGCCAGGAAGGTTATTATGTAATAAGAATGGCTGCTTTCCCCTGCATTTTAAGTGCATATCGTGATTCCAATTCACATTAGTGACTATGAAGAGTGACCTACACAGGGTAGCAATTATTTTGTACATTATAAAAAGAATATAGCATATAGAATGGGTACCAGTGGGTATTGCAAGGGGAAATAAAGAGGAGCGGCTTAATGCCAGCGGCAGAGAGGGTGTGGAAGGAGTGAGATATAGCATGCACTTCCCTTCCAGCGTGAGGAACGAACATCTAAAGAACCTGTATTCTGAAAGATCTGTCTTTTGCAATTAGCTAGTCAAACACAGAACATACAGTGCATATGTGCACACACATTCTACTCAAGGTTTATACTCACACGCATTAAAGTCATAGCCAATCCCTTCAAGACAATAATCAAAATCTGAGCCCGAGCATCTTCCAAGAAGGCCACAACTATTTACTTAGACTGGCTTCCATGGGAGACAACAGTTCAGTTTAAAGAGAGCGCACGGGTTTTTTTAAACATCCATTTTTGTTGACTGGATTCTTGTCCTGTTCCAACGGGATTTTTTTTATTTAAACTTTATAATCTAGAAATTTACCTCCCGGGACTTTTGCGAGATACGGCTAAGCAAACACCCCTATCTCTCACTGGCACCACCTTTTACCACTTCAGATACCAGGACTGAACGGGCCATCTGTGGGGAGAGGAGCCGACGGGCGTTAAAACACGAATTGAAAGAAGCCTCGAAAAGGTACACTGAGCGTCGGGAGCAGGAAACTGTTGAGTTCGTGGTGGGGGACAGAGAGAGGTTGTTATGTCACCCGACAGGGAGAAAACGAAGGTCTCGAGGCGAGGGGGTTGGAAAATGACAGAAACTAAATATGGGGGGGAGAGGTCACGGCATGTAGAGAGAAGGGGGCGGGGGACACGGGGGGGGTCTCCCACAGGGAGCTCTAAAATGGCGGCAGCTGCCTTCCCACAGAACTCCCCCACCGCACGCGCGCGCACCCCGTTCCTCTCCTGCCCTCCCCGCCCCCCCAGCCAGCCGCTCTCACCGGGCTCGAGCCCCCTCCTTCGCTCGCGGGGGTGTCGCTCTCTCGCTCGCGCTCTCCCTTCACTTTTTTTTTTTTTTTGCTCTCACCGCCGCGATCCCACAATCCCCCGCGCGCCCCTCCAGCGGCCGACCCACTGTTTCCTGCTGCGACTGCTGCTGCCACTCTCCTCCTCCTCCCGCCTCCCCTCCCTTACCCGAATGGTGGAACAAGCGAAGACAACTGCTCATGCGCCACGCTTCCCCTCATCCTGCTGCGATTCTCTCCTCTCGCTGTGGCTCCTCCCTTCTCGTGCTTCTCGCGAATGGGGCCGGCAGACGCGACGGCGCTTGCGCCCCGTGCGCTCGCGCTCTCCCTATTTACCGCTTTCAAGACAGCTGCGCATGCGTCAAATCCACCCTTCCTGTTCTCGAGTTCGGCTTCTCTCTTCCTGACACCCCTCCTTTACACAGAGGGACGAAGGCATGCGCACACTCGTCTCAACCTGCATACTCTCCTTTGGCAAAAAAAAGTGAGAGGAAAAACATGCGCATGCGCACCGTTCCCTCGTCTTTCTTAGATTTGAAGGGTGCTTCCGTGCATGTTTAATCGGCAGTAAATCTAGCTGTTTCATGAGACTTAGTCTCAAGTAAACGTGTATAGGAGGATGGCGACCTTAGTTGTGTCGGTCTCCCTTTGTTTTATTTTTCTTAACGCCATCATGGGAAATGTACAGAAACCGTTCGTAAAAACACATGTGCGCAAACGAAAATCCCTCTAATTCCACAAATAAATACACATAACCATACATGTGATGCAACCATTTTAATATCACGGTCTCGGTTACTAAAAGGAGAGGTTTTCTACCGTTTCTGTCAAAATCCAAAAAATATTACTTTTCTAAAAATGCATACCTAATTCAATTTTTTGTCATAAACCATCTTTCCCCTCATTGCCACTTCTGCTAATCGACCCATGCCTGGATTGAGGGGACTTTGAGATTTCCAGCCCATTTTTGATATCACATCGCTCTCTGCATTTTGGGTAACGGCTTGTTAACAAATGTGTATCCAAGCATGAAGCAACTGAATTTGAGATCAGTTGTGAAAATCCCAGTCAAAGTAGCACATTAAATGACCTCTTTCCAGAACAGAAGAACCATTTTATGTTACTGACCCCATCTGCAGCACGCAGGTGTTTAACTTGGTTTTCTGTCTGTACATCATTGTTGTCAGATTTTGAATCAAACCTCACATTAAGGATAAATTATTTGATGGACAGCAGCATTTCCCCCCATTGGTCTGGGTAAAGCTCTTCAGTCTCCCCACTCTTATTCAGCATTCTACAAGAAATGGCCAAGGAGCAAACACTTTAGTCCAAGCCAAGGACATTCTATTGTACCCTGCTCCCCATCCCCTTCGGGCTTGGGGCTCCACAACTTCCCTGCAACAGGCTAACATTATCCAGAGAAGGGCCAGAGCAAATTCAACAGTCCATCATTGTTGTCAGATTTTGAATCAAACCTCACATTAAGGATAAATTATTTGATGGACATTGGTCTGGGTAAAGCTCTTCAGTCTCCCCACGCTTATTCAGCATTCTACAAGAAATGGCCAAGGAGCAAACACTTTAGCCCAAGCCAAGGACATTCTATTCTACCCTGCTCCCCGTCCCCTTTGGGCTTGGGGCTCCACATCTTCCCTGCAAAAGGCTCACATTATCCAGAGAAGGGCCAGAACAAATTCAACAGTCCAATGAGCATCCTTCAAATGTCCTGTTGGCCAAAAAGGAAGGGCTGCCAGGAGGGAAGGAGGAGTACAATGAACGACAGGGATGCGTGTGGGTGAGGTCTTCGATTGCTGTGGTGGAAAGTGCTGTCAAGTCGCAGCCAATTTAATGGCGACCCCAAAGGGTTTTCAAAGCCACAGGCAAACAGAGGTAGTTTGCCATTGCCTGCCTCTGCACAGTGATCCTAGACTTCCTTGGTGGTCTCCCATCCACATGCTAACTAATGCTGACCCTGCTTAACTTCTGCGGCCTGACAAGATCCAGCGAGCCTCAACCACCCAAGTCAGGGCTATCTAGAATAAATAATGGGGGCTGTGATTGGGGGGTGGGAGCAGCTGTAAGCACTCAGAGATTCAATTGGCCTGTGGCCAACCTGTGACAAGCTTCGCTAGCTAATCCACATCTACCCACTCTCTCTTTTGCATCCCAACAGCCAGTTAGGGATGTCAACCTGGGGATCTCCCAGAATTACAGCTCATCTCCAGATCAGAGATGAGTCCCCCTGGAGAAAATGGCTGCTTTGGAAGGTGGACTGTATGGTATTGTACCTCACTGAGGTCCCTGTCCTCCCCAGGCTCCACCCCCAGATCTCCAGGAGTTTTCCAACCTGGAGCTGGCAACCCTACACACACACCCATCCACCACCAGGGATGAGGGGGTCCCTGGCAACCCCATAGCCAGTTTTTAGGCCCAGATTGGGTGGAGCACAAGGAAAGCAAGACAGAGGGCTTATTAGAAACTGAAATAAGGGTTGGTATGGGAGTGACAGACACACATCCGGCTCTGTGGCTGGGTAATAGTTCTGGATGGGTAGCCATTTCAGTCTGTGGCAGCAAAATAAAACAGCAGTAAGGTAGCACCTTAAAAGACTAACACCACTTATTCCATCATGACCTTCTGTGAGTCAGAGCTCACATTAAATGTGGTTTGGGAGTTACCCCCGAAAGAAGCTAGTGGGAGCGCAGTCTTTCTATGTACCTGACAGCAGGTGATAGAGAACCAGCTGAGGGACGCTGAGGAACATCCCAGAGTATTTAGCTGAGCTACCTCCATTTTGCTCTAGCATGTATCACATGCACTGGATTTCTGGTGTTGGGTGTGGCCTATTATGCTAATGAGTTCCTGCTGGGCTTTTTCTACAAAAAGAGCCTTGAGTCATGGGAGTGACAGACACACATCCGGCTCTGTGGCTGGGTAATAATTCTGGATGGGTAGCCATTTCAGTCTGTGGCAGCAAAACAAAACAGCAGTCAGGTAGCACCTTAAAAGACTAACACCACTTATTCCATCATAACCTTCTGTGAGTCAGAGCTCACATTAGATGTGGTTTGGGAGTTACCCCCGAATGAAGCTAGTGGGAGCGCAGTCTTCCTATGTACCTGACAGCAGGTGATAGAGAACCAGCTGAGGGATGCTGAGGAGCATCCCAGAGTATTTAGCTGAGCTACCTCCATTTTTCTCTAGCATATATCACATGCACTATTCGTACTACTTATTTTGATACCTTGTTTTCTGCCTCAGTCTTTAATAGATTGAGTGCCCATATACACTCCAGACTGTGTAGCCCATAGCAGCTGTAGTGTAGTTGGATGCCTTTTTAACACCGTTAGAGAAAACTGTATTCTGTGAAAATGCTTTAACAGTGATAAGAATGGAGTTCCCTTTATCACGATTTTATAGTACTGACCCCCCTCAGACATCCCTTCTGGATAGCGTGAATTGTAACTGTAATGTATTGGTTTTCTTATGCGCTACCATAATAATATCCTGCCAACCAGCAGTTCAAAAGCAAGAAATTGCAAGTAGATAAATAGGGACCACTTCGGTGGGAAGGTAACAGCGTTCCGTGCGCCTTGGTGTTTAGTCATGCCGGCCACATGACCACGGAAACGTCTTCGGACAGCGCTGGCTCTTCGGCTTTGAAACGGAGATGAGCACCGGAACCCTAGAGTTGGATTCGACTAGCTTTTGAGCGAGGGAACCTTTACCTTTACCTATCATAATAAACTGTGACAATTAACTTATTGTAAAGTTATTTTTTTAACTATTTTCTGATGTTGTAACCTGCCCTGAGTCCTGCAGTGCAGGGAAGGGCGGGATAGAAACCTAAAGTAATAAATAAATAAATGCGCAAACCCATCTCTCCACTATTAATCTCCCTGTAGTTGATCTTCACTCCCTGTGCCATGTGTGCTTTGGGCTGGGAGCCATTTTCACACATTCAGGCTTTTTTCCTTCCTTCTGTTCACTTCCACTTGGGAGTACCTGTGCGTCTTTGCACTTTCTAACAAACCGAGGAAGGCAGAAGGTTTCTGCTGCATTCTTCTTCAGTGAACCAACCCAAGATCAATATAATCCTGTCACGACAATCTCAGCAAAGGCCACGATGTTGCATCCTGAGGCGGCGTGACATTATCAACAGCCATTTCACCCGCCCTCGAAGTAACCTCAGCTTGGTTCTGATGGTATCAGAACAACCCTACTAAGCTACTGTTCCACATTCCAAGCAATCGCTGAAGTCAAATTATTGGTCCCCAATGTATTATCCCTTCATGAGGTGAATCTGCCACAGTAACTGAGAGCACTATCTCCCACTAAACAGCGGATAATCCAGTTTGTTATGGTTTCAATGTCAATTTTTTTTAAAGATATGTGGGGAATTACCTGTATATAAGCAAATAAAGTGGCCTAACAGTCAAAATAGGAGCTGCGGTGGCTCAGGTGGTTAAGACGCTGAGCTGCAGGCTGTGGAAGGTCGGTAGTTCAGCAGTTCGAGACCCGGGTGCTGCATGACGGAGTGAGCTCCCATCTCTAGTTCCAGCTCCTGCCAACCTAGCAGTTCGAAAGCAAGAAATTGCAAGTAGATAAATAGGGACCACTTCGATGGGAAGGTAACAGCGTTCCATCCATTCATGACTTTCATTTTCTCTATGCCACATGCAGTAGTAGGGAACAACAGCATTGTGTAGTGGGTTTAAGTGTTGGGACTAGGCTCTGGGAAACACAGGTTTGAATCCGCACTCTGCTATGGAATGTTGCTGGGTGACCTTGGGCCGGTCACACACACTAACCTACCGCACAGAGTTGTTGCGAGGATAAAACCAAATAGCGGAGAACGATGCCTCTTTGAGTCTCCATTGGGGAGAAAGAAGTGATATAAAGTAATCTCAATATTGGGGACACTGACTGTCAGTGGCTCTCCAGAGTCTTGGACATAGTAAATGTCTTTCCACAAGCCCGGCTACCTGCAATTCTGCCACTGACACCCATATGTATTAATGGAAACATGCTTCAAAGTAAAGTGTGTCAAATTTAGGGGCACAAATCCATTCATGACTTTCATTTTCTCTATGCCACATGCAGTAGTAGGGAACGACAGCATTGTGTAGTGGTTTTAAGTGTTGGGACTAGGCTCTGGGAAACACAGGTTTGAATACCCACTCTGCTATGGAATTTTGCTAGGTGACCTTGGGCCGGTCACACACTCTAACCTACCGCACAGAGTTGTTGTGAGGATAAAACCAAATAGCGGAGAATGATGTCTCAATATTGGGGACACTGACTGTCAGTGGCTCTCCAGAGTCTTGGGCACAGTAAATGTCTTTCCACAAGCCCGACTACCTGCAATTCTTTAACTAGAAGAGACGAGGATTGAACCTGGAGCCTTCTCTGTGCAAGGCAGCTGCTCTGCCAGTGAGCCGTAGCCTCTTTCTAACGCAAAGGATCCACATTGGCTGTGGTGTTTCCAGTTGTTCAGCCATGTTCAATAGAGACTTCTCTTTGGTTTTTGGTTTTCTAAGCAGAGAGGGACATGATAAGAGCTCACATCTGTTTGGTTTTTGGTGAGTATTTGGGTGGGTGTGCGCGCGCGCAATGTTGAGCTTGCCAGCCTGGAAGTCATGGTGACTTCTGATGACCCGTAGTAGGGCTAGGAAATTTTTCAGACAGATGGCTTGGCATTGTCGGCCTCTGTGTCCCGGCCCTGGTACTCCTTGGAGGTCTCCCTTCCAAGTACTTGCCAGGGTCGGCCCTGCTTAACTTCCAAGATCTGATGAGATCAGCAGGGCTATTTTTGGGCAGGAACGCACAGGAACGGAGTTCCGGCTGGCTCCCAAGTTGGCCACGCCCAGCAGGAACTCATTAGCATAATAGGCCACACCCAACAGCAGAAACTCATTAGGATTGGCTACAATTAGGGGTGTGTGGCCTAACATGCAAAAAGCCCTGGGTTTTGACAACAAACAAGGTAAAGAGAATAAGAAGCAAAAGGTGGGTGTGGCTGGATGACCACGCTTCTGCTGACATGGGGGTGTGGCCTAATATGCGAATGAGCTGTGCTGTCAGGGTGTGGCCTAATATGCTAATGAGTTCCTGCTGTTGGGTATGGCCTATTATGCTAATGAGTTCCTGCTGGGCTTTTTCTACAAAAAGAGCTCTGGAGATCGGGCTTCCTTGGGCTGTCCAGGTCAGGGCAGAGTTCACATCTGTTGACAGGAAAAAATGAAACATGCCAGACTTATCACTCAAAACCAGAAACCTGTTGTTTCTTTAAAAAAATAAGGAGTAAGCAAACACAGCAACAGCAGAGCGGTGGGAATGGCGGAGGCTGCTGGGATACACCGAGAGGAGAGAAGCCAATGAGGGAACAAAGGGACACCGATTATTGTCCATCGAGGTGAAGAGCAGATCCAAAGCCCTGTCGTCTCTCTGGCAATTGCAGCCACAAGAGTAGATCTGGATCCTTCATGCTGACACTCTCCAAAGCCTTGTCGCTGTGGAGAAGAGCTCCCTCAAGCACTCTGGGCCCTGCAGTGGCAATTCAGTGCCCTTTCTCCACAGGGCAATTAACCCCCATCTGCTTTTGCCACAATTTCAGATACAGGAAATAAAGGCATGCAACCCTCCCCACCTCGATAACGATCTCATCTTTGACAAACGAGACGTGTATCTGTAGGAACCGGCTTCATTTACCAATTAAACAGGGGGGATTTTCAGAGCCACGTCCCAACGATGGCTGCTCAGCTACCTGTTTGTGAACGATTTGGGTGAGGCTAGACGGACAGCGGAACCGCGGCCGAGGAACGGTTCTGCAGGGTGAGGAAGAGGAAGTTACACAGTGACAGCTTATGAAAGTGTCTTCCTGCCAATCGTGAGGCTAACAAGCCATCTCTCTCACTACAGAGACACCTCCAGTTCCTCCAGTGAATGTAGGATAAACACGGGCGTTTCCATAAAGTGTTTCCAACTGACAGCGCTCCAAGTATAAGCGAGAGCTTCCAACAGTGTCGAACAAGGGTCCGGGAAGCCAAGTTACCGGTCCATGTTGTTTTCATCAGGTTGGCTTTGAAAGCAAAGGCGTAGCAAAGTCTCACAGAAATCCAGCTCCTCCTTAGAAACAGAGAGAGAGACACAGAAAGTGAAGAAAAATCAGTTCCCTCCCAAGCCATTATACAACTTCAACTGGTTGTCAATACAGGTACATATATATTCACAGTAATTACAGTTTTCTATTCACAACACTATCTGAAGCAGGGGTCATTTCCTGCAGGAGCGCATAGGAGCGGAGCTCCGGCAGTAAAGAGCCCAGGAGGCGGGCACATGCAACAAGCCCCACCCCCTGCTCCCAGCAGCCCTCAGTCAGAGCAAGAAGCAGCCAGGTAAGTTGCAGAGCCCCTCCCACCGGCCCAAGACAATCCAGTGGCACCTTTAAGACCAAGTTTTATTCAGGTACAAGCTCTCCCTCCTCTGCGAGAACAGATCTGCACATCCCGTCCCCGCAATAGCTAGCAATCCAAAACAGTCCAGTGGAGCCTGAGCGGTGGGTGTTGCCTTCGTTCTGACACACTTCCGGTGATGTCAGGGGGTGTGGCATATGCAAATAGGTTATGCTAATGAGTTATGCTAATGAGCTCCTGCACCTCTTTTTCTATGAAATGACCCCTGATCTGAAGCATCTAAAAAATATACGCCTTCACAAGGATCTTTGGTCTCTGTACAGCTATCGTTTAGTAGCATTGTAAAGTCCTGGAGATTTGGTGGTGGAGTGTGAGGAGAGTAGGGTTTGGGGAAGGGAAGGCCTCAGCACTGCATACCACCACAGAGTACACCCTCCAAAGCAGCCATTTGCTCCAGGGGAGCTACTCTCTGAAGTCTGGAGAGCAGCTTTTAATCCCAGGAGATCTCCAGGCACCGCTTGGGGTTGGTAACACTAATCGCTACCCATTCTGCCTGATGACGAAGAGTTTTGTGTTAACTCTAAAGTTTGCGAGAGCCAGTTTGGTGTACTGATTAAGAGCGGCAGTACTCTAATCTGGAGAACCGGGTTTGATTCCCCAATCCTTCACTTGAAGCCAGCTGGGTGACCTTGGGTCAGTCACTGTTCTCTCAGCCCACAAAATAAACCTAGCTTGCCACAAAAAGAGCTAGAATTTCAGGCTGCCTGACAATCTTCGTATCTCCTGGCTACACTGCACCCACTGCCATACAATAATTAATTAGTTCTAAAATTTGCATGCTACTGCACCAAGACAAGCCATTGTGACCTCGCACTTAATGTAATCCCCTGTGTCTATACATCTCAGTAAGGCAGGCATATACTAGAGAGGCTTTCAATTGATGTTTGTAAATTAATCCCTTCCTAATCCCTGGTACTTTCATGGGACTACATTTGGGGTAGGGGAGGGAGACCACTTATTTGAAGTGCTTCCCATGTCTTAGGTACTTTGTTTGGGACCTGGCTTGGGTGGCATCTTAGCTTCCCACCAAGGATCCCACCCACATGCCTTATTCTACAGGTGGTCAAACCACTTTGAGGACTATACCACCTGACCGCACATTTCGATCTTCTCTAAACGCCCTCTGGTGGATAGCCTTCCTAGCTGTGCCAGCTGAACTTCTTCCAGAGAGGCATCAAAGTACAGACAACTTCTCACAAGGGAGATGCCTCGAGAAATTGATACGGTTTCTAAGAACACTGCACCCTTTTCAGAGAAGCTTGAACCTGGAGAGGGACCACGGCTCTTTAGTGGAGCATCTGCAGAAGATCTCAGGTCAATGTCTAGAATCTTCAGTTAGACGGATCATGAACACATGAAGCTGCCTTTTACTGAATCAGACCATCAAGATCAGTATTGTCTACTCAGGCTGGCGGCAGCAGCTCTCCAGGGTCTTGGAGGTGTTTCATATTACCAAGTACCTGATCCCTTTAACTGGAGATGCTGGGGATTGAACCAGGGACCTTCTGCATACCAAGCGGATGCTCTACCACTAAGCCACGGCCCCTCCTGATCACTTAACAGATCTTGTGAAAGACTTCACCTGAGATCCAAGAGCCACTGCCAGTCAGAGCCGACAGACAGTACTGGCCTTGGCAAACCAATGGTCTGACTCAGTATAAGGTGGCTTCAATGTGACCTGGGTTCTCAGCTGCAGAGAGCAGCGTTGGGAGTTATTCCTCCTGGAACCCCAACAAGGGCGATGCCTCGAGAAATTGATACGGCTTCTAAGAACACTGCGCCCTTTTCAGAGAAGCTTGAACCTGGAGAGGGACCACGGCTCTTTAGTGGAGCATCTGCAGGAGATCTCAGGTCAATGTCTAGAATCTTCAGTTAGAAGGATCATGAACACATGAAGCTGCCTTTTACTGAATCAGACCATCAAGATCAGTATTGTCTACTCGGGCTGGTGGCAGCAGCTCTCCAGGGTCTTAGAGGTGTTTCATATTACCAAGTACCTGATCCCTTTAACTGGAGATGCTGGGGATTGAACCGGGGACCTTCTGCATACCAAGCAGATGCTCTACCACTAAGCCACGCCCCCTCCTGATCACTTAACAGATCTTGTGAAAGACTTCACCTGAGATCCCAGAGCCACTGCCAGTCAGTGCAGACAGATAGTACTGGCCTTGGCAAACCAACGGTCTGACTCAGTATAAGGTGGCTTCATGTGACCTGGGTTCTCAGCTGCAGAGAGCAGCGTTGGGAGTTATTCCTCCTGGAACCCCAAATGTCTAGTTTTCTATGAGCAGGGAGGATTTCTGATCACACATGTAAACTGTCTAAGATTGTACAGTTAATCCAGAACAGAATCACACAATCACACTGACCATCCATTCACAACTATCCTTTGGCCCCTTGGGAGGTCCGCTCCGACATGCAGATCTGCATGGCCATAAAGTACAACTGGTTGAGCTTACAGTGTAACGTTCCCTTTCCCCAATCCAACCAATTATACCAAGGGATCACCAAAACACAACCCCTTCTGTTTGTTCTTTAAGCTACATCCAGTACCCGCAGGTGACACTGGGCCTCCAAAATGCCAAAGTATGGCTGTCTTCAACTTGGGTTTCTTCCTGAACCACGAGCAGGGCGGGCAGGCGGGCAGGGGGAGAGCTTTAAAATAGTGCGGCAAGACTGGCTCCCCGTTCCCTCCACTTACCACATTAGGCCAATTGCTTAATTGTCAAGTTTTCTGCAACCTAATTGCTACGTTCAGAAGAAAATTGTCACCACTAACAGCAGGGGTGGGAACTAATCCACCAACAGTAAATACAACAACAGCCACAGACAGAGAAGAGAAGGGAACGCATCCCCCACCCCAATAATTAAGAAAAAGCTTGGAGGGAGGACAGCATCAGAATGGCCATATGCCAAGAAATTAATAGCACAGAGAAGACTCCAACGCCAGTTCTAGCAGCCTATCATAAGGGATCTCTTAGGATAGAATAAGCTATTTATTTATTTATTTATTTTGGGTTTATATCCTGTCCTCCCCATAGACTGTAAACTAAATATGAGCAGTCAGTGTGATGCGGTGGCAAAAAAGGCAAATTCAGTCTTGGGTTGTAGTAAATGGGCCATAGCATCGAAATCACAGGAGGTCATAGCCCCTCTGTATACTGCCTTGGTCAGGCTGCACCTGGAGTACTGAGCGCAGTTCTGGAGGCCTCGCTTCAAAAAGGATGTGGACAAAATAGAAAGGGTGCAGAAGAGAGCGACGAGGATGATCAGGGGTCTGGAGACTGAGCCCTACGAGGAAAGGCTAAGGGCCTTCGGAATGTTTGGTTTGGAGAAAAGGAGACTGGGGGGGGGGACATGATTGCTCTCTTTAAATATTTGAAATGCTGTCATTTGGAGGAGGGCAAGGAGCTGTTCCAGTTGGCAGCAGAGGATAGGACCCGAAGCAACGGGTTTAAATTACATGCAGAAAGGTATCGGCTGGATATTAGGAAACACTTTTTCATGGTCAGAGTGGTTCAAAGGTGGAATCAGCTGCCTAGAGAGGTGGTTAGCCCCCCTTCACTGACAGCTTTGAAGAAGAGACTGGACGAATATTTGTCAGAGATGCTTTAGGCTGGTCCTGCATTGGGCCGGGGGTTGGACTAGATGGTCTGTATGGCCCCTTCCAACTCTATGATTCTATAAGCAGGCTCAGGGCATGTTCCAACAGTATAAAATACACTACGATTAAAACCAGATTAAAAACGCAATATAAATAACATAACTCCTAAGTGCCATTTAAACTCTAGTACGGAGCTGCGGTGGCTCAAGTGGTTAAGACGCTGAACTGCAGGCTGTGGAAGGTCAGTAGTTCAGCAGTTCGAGACCCGAGTTGCTGCATGACGGAGTGAGCTCCCGTCTCAAGTTCCAGCTCCTGCCAACCTAGCAGATCGAAAGCAAGAAATTGCAAGTAGATAAATAGGTACCACTTCGGTGGGAAGGTAACAGCGTTCCGTGCGCCTTGGCGTTTAGTCATGCCGGCCACATGACCACGGAAACGTCTTCAGACAGCGCTGGCTCTTCGGCTTGGAAACGGAGATGAGCACCGCAACCCTAGAGTCGGACTCAACTGGCTTTCGAGCAAGGGAACCTTTAGCTTTACTTTAGAGATCAAATACCTTAGTGGTTGATGGTATTAGAATTTAATATTTTTTTTTAAAGATCTTTAGGATTTTAAGATCTCAAAGATCCAGGCTACAGATGGAGGCCAGCCAAAGGAAGGGAATGCCCAATGCCTCAACCAAAAGCCCTGGGGAAGAGCTCCATCTTACAGGCCCTGCAGAATTGTCATAGATAACTTATTTTCTCAAGCAAAAGACAAATCCACTATGAGGGGAGGGAAAAGACCAGAGCCGCCCACAACCTGAATGTCCCCTCTAAACCTGAAAGCTGCCATTGGCCATGAAGCTCTGTGGCAGGGGTCCCCAACGTGGCGCCCACCAAGTTTTTAGAAAGTAGGAGGGGACACTGGGTTTTCACCCAGCTCATGTCAAGCCGGCTAGATGCCTGCAAAATAAAAGACAAATACTACCAGGTGAGGACTTCTTAGCTAGCTCAGTACATATACATTTTATGTGTATGCAAGAAACTATTTTTAAACAGTATGTTAATTGAAAAACACATCCTGTTGCACAGAGCTTCTGCCAGAAACAGTAAAGAGTTACTATCACACTTATGCACAACCTCACTCCCTGACATTTTCTAGTTGGCTCCACCTCCCACAGCAGCTGTTTCATGGTTGCACCCACCACCCTATGTCACAGCTCCAAACGTACCTGCAGGCTCAAAAATGCTCAATGCTCCCTCTAAGCTGTGAGTCTTGTGAGCAAAAATTCTACTTTGTGAGAAACTGGCATTAAAGCTGTGAGCAAGCGGTTTGGCTACTGCATAAATTAAAGCTGTGAGCAAGCGGCTTGGCTACTGCATAAAATTAGTTTGCTCTGGAGTCATGCTTCATGAGCTAAGACAATAATGTGTGAGCCGGAGGCAAAAAAACTGTGAGCTAGCTCACACTAACTCAGCTTAGAGGGAATACTGTGACTCTCTCTCTCTCTCTCTCTGAACAGAAGCCGATGTTGCTCCTATCTCCACCATCTCTATGTTGAAAACCTCAGGAACCGTGCACTGGCAATGAAAGCAGCCATCCTTTCAACAGGAATGTTGGAAGCACCATCAGGCACTGCAGAGAGACTGAAACCCCTTTACAGAAAACTGGTCCTCCATCCACAAGACGTTCCACCAGGTGGTGGGGATTCCATAAGCAAGGAAGCTCCTCCCCCATGACTGAGACTGTGTGCAACTGGCTCTCCTTTGGGGGGGGGGGTTACGGTTGCCAAGTCTGAATGGGACTCCCGGCTGGCAGCTGTAGCATGTGCGCTTTGCGCGAGCACCGCATACACATCACACCGGAAGTGACGTGATCACGCCGGAAGTGACGTGATCACGCTGGGGCGGGGCCACGACCATCCAAGGGAAAACCATAGAGTTTTCTGCCGCCGGCGGGGAATGGGCCTCTGGGGCGGGGGTTTCCCTGCCCCCCGGGGGGACTTGGGAAGCCTGGGAGGGGACAACTTTCAGAAGCTAAAGACTTTTCATTCTTAGCAGCCACCAAGAGGGTTGGTTTGAGGTGCTCTTGAGCAGTGAACAGCTCAAGACCTCTGCAACTCACTACCAGTTTGGCAACATCCAAACTCTGGAATTCCTTAAGAGGTAGATTAAAAATATCCTCAGTATTATTTAGAGCCCAGGAATTAACATAACAAACTTCCATGACCCTGCGTTATCCCACGGGTTCGATAATCAACAATCCGGGGTGGAATAGGGCTTTCCAGTGCCTGATTCTCTCTCTGTCTCTCTCACACACACAGGAGAATGAGGTGGCAAAACTGGAGATGGATCATACCACTTGAGGCTGCAGGAGGTGGATTCCCTTCTGAGTGTTCCTTCACATTAAACATAACCCCTGGTTTTCTATCAGCAGGGAGTTTTTTTAAACACAGGAGAGTATTCCAAAATGTGATCCTCCACCTGCAATCTGCAGTGGTGCCATCTATTCGACTGTGTCAATGTTTTTGCCACCTCATTCCCACCTGCACGTGTGAATTTCCACTTGCCCCCTTTAAAAAGAGCGAATCCCCTCTGTCAGAAAGGAAACATGGAGAAGGTCCCTACCCGAGCATGTGCCTCCCTTGCTTCTTACTTCATTCTTAACCACCACCCTACCAAAAATGAACCGAATTTGCTGAAAAATTGAAATCACAGGGGGTGGAGATGTTCCTTAGAGCAACAGAATTTGGGGTTGCCTGCTCTTAAAACTCAGTGGTTGTCCCAGAAGACATACAGCCCCTTTCCAGAAAGGGGAAAGGCTTCAGAGAGAGCCCGTTTCCGGCCTACCTGGAACTCCTCCTGCTCCTTCAGTTGCTGGCACCGCTCTTTTAGCAGCTCCTCAAGGGCCAGTTCTGGCTGTTGACACTCTTGGACCCCCTCAGGGAAATCTGTCACCAGGCTGAAGTTGGGGGCCACAGAGAAGAAAGGGAGATTAGACACAGGGCAGAAAGCTTTACCCCCATCAGCTGATCTCGTTTCCCTCTCCGCCCCTTTAATCACGGACTTCTGCAATTCTACATGTGCCAAATCAAGTATCTGCTGCAAAATCTAAATTCCTCAGAATATGAGCCTAGGTTGGGGGTTTTCAAGCAACGTCTATTCCTTGTGCTTGGCAACAGTTTTGAAAATGAGTAGTGTGTGAGCAACAGGCCCTAGAACCACTGACTTGGAATCTATGGACTTTTTTGGGGGGGGTTTGTATTTTTCATATGTGTGTGCGTGTGTGCACCTGGAAGTCAAGGTGACCTCTGATCACTGACCCCTACTGGGGCTCTGGAGGATATTCAAAGAGGTGGCTGAATAAAGCCTGCCCCCACCTCTCAACTGCTGGCATTCCAAGGAGGTCTCCCATCCAAGTACTTTCCAGAGTCGACGCTGCTTAGCTACCGAGATCTGACAAGATTGGGCTTGCCTGGGCTACCTAGGTCAGAGCGATTCTATGGACGTTCTTGTGCACCCTAGACAGACTCTGCTGTGGAACATGCTTTCTCTCCAGCTAACACCTCCGCTTGCACAGAGCAACAGTTTTCAACGAGCCCTTGCACGAGTGCTAGCGGAAGAAGCAGCATCCCCCATGACACAGCCTGTCTAGTGCATGCAGAACTCACCTTTTCTGGGCAAGGAGTGAGGGGTAATGCACCTTGTACTTCAAGGTCTGTTTCTACCAATGTGACCTTCTACATACACCTGAGGGCCAGGAGGCACTTCCCAAGTGCTAGATTTGACCCACAGCAAACCTATACCCTGTGGCAGTGAGTTCTGCAGGTGCGCCGCACATTGATGTACTTTCCTGAATCTACTGCTCAGCAAATTCACAGGGTGCCTCCCAGTTCTAGCATTTCAAATGAGGAACTTGCTTTGCCTCACCAGAGATACAGACTGGCTGCAAATCACTCTCTGCACCTCTTTGTCTCCTGTTATAAATCTGATCCTATCTCCGCCCCACCTCCCAATTCCTAAGAATGCCAATCCCAAGCACACATAAAGAATTAGATCCAGGGAACAGAGGACCATCACTGGCCACTAGCCAAGGTGATTCAAAGGAACCTCCGTCTACCGAAACAGCAAAGCTCTGAATCCCAGCGCTGGGAGGCATTAGCAGGGGCGGGCCTTGGCTTCTAGGCCCTGTTTGTTTGGCTCTCCAAGGCAACCGGCTGGCCACAGTGTGAGACAGGATGCTGGACTGGATGGACACTGGTCTGAGCCAGTTCTTTTAGGTTCCCACTTTCTGCAAACTATCCTTCACTTTCCATCCAAAGTCCCGACAGGGGCTGGCTCCCACTCCCCTCAATACCTGCACAAGGCTCCCAAGACGTGTTCGTGGAAAGTGCTGTGTTCAGTCCGGATCAGGGCCACCAGCTGCTGGACCATTCCCATCGAACAGAGTGTTTCTGGGGGAGGGAGAAGGGATGGACACTATAAGCCAAGAGAAAGGCAGGGGGCTCTTTATGGGGAGGCAGCAGCAACCCCACCACCTAGTAACAGAGCTGCGAGCACCTCCCTTCCTCTGGCACGGGTGCTTCTTAAACTGTGTCATTCGTTTCCCACCCCATTCACTCAATGTGGTTTGCGACAGCTTCTTCTGGTAAGAAAGGTCTCTGTTACATATGTGAGACTATAGCCCATCTCACAAACCAGAGATACATTTTCAAGGGGAAGTACATTTTTTTCCCCTAAGAACTGTTGGCTTCTACGTGTCATAACGTGGGACAAGAGAACCCAGGATCTGTGATGCTCAATGGGTGATTTTGGCCCAATCACTACAGAAGAAGAAGAGATTGGAAAGGTCACATCAGCAGGTGCAAGTGGAGGAGTGGGGAATCAAACCCGGTTCTCCCAGATTAGAGTCCATGCACTTAACCACTACACCAAACTGGTCGTGATCGGGATAAAATGGGCAGGAGACAGACCTGGGAACTACAAGTGTGAAAGAGAATGCAACACGCAGCCTGTACATCAATAAATCTTTGTTCTTGCAGCAAGAAGTCCCGAAGATTGAAGATTGGATTAAAAAATTATTATTTTCAGTTGAAATGGACAAACTGACAAGAAAGTTGAATAATATGGAAGCAGAAGATTTCTATAATGACTGGAAGGATCTAAAAGAATACTTAGAAAAGTATTGGGAAGTAAAAGACAATTTGTTTAGTTTTAATAATTATTAATCATAGAATGCTTGGGAGATAGGATAAGTTAAAAATTAGTTACTATATGCTCTTTTTCAAGGACAGCTGTGCCAGAGCTTGTGACTGACCCAGGGTCACACCAGCAGCTGCATGTGGAGGAGTGGGGAATCAAACCCGGTTCTCCCAGATTAGAGTCCACGCACTTAACCACTACACCAAACTGGTCGTAATCGGGATAAAACGGGCAGGGGGCAGACCTGGGAACAACAAGTGTGAAAGAGAATGCAACACACAGCCTGTGCATCAATAAATCTTTGTTCTTTTATTAAACCTCCTGTTTCAGTGACCTCTGTACTCTTCAGGCTCAATACAAAACTTAACTCACAGCGGCGTCCCCAAAGCCTTTACCTCTGCTGCCCTAAGAACATCTTGGGACTGAGGGGAAGGCTTGTACTGAACCAAGCAAGTTCCCCAGATTCATCAGAGAGGCCCTCAGCTTCAAGGAAGTCCTCTCCGTTTCAAGGAAGGGACTGTTAGAGGCACCAAGCCCCCCCCCCCCCCCCGCTTCTCACCTTTCTGTTCCGGGTGATCAATGAGAAGGTTCTGCAAAAGGAAGGCCGATTTCACTTTCAGCTTCTCCACATTGCTCTGCATGGCCCTCATAAGAACAGAGAACCCGTCAAGGCGCAGGAACTGCAGCAGACCAGCTTCCTGAGCTCTCACCAAGCCTGGCAGCACAGAAGAAGAGTTGGGTTTTTATACCTGCTTTCCTCTACCCTAAGGAGTCTCAAGGCAACTATCAATCGCCTTGCCTCCCTATCCCCACAACAGGCACCTTGGGAGGTAGTTAGGGGGGAGAGCGTTCCGAGAGAACTGTGACTGGCCCAAGGTCACCCAGCTGGCTTCATCTGGAGGAGGAGTGGAGAACCAAACCCGGTTCTCCAGATTGGAGTCTGCTGCTCTTCGCACTCGGCAGAGGAAAGAGGATCAGCAAACAAATGCCGTTTACATTCATGCCCCACTTCAGTAACAGACTCACTGGGTAACCTTTGTCACTGAATGCATTGAATGTGGTTCTCACACACACACACACACACACACACACCCGATGGACACAGCTTCTGGTTGCGCCAAGAAGTGAATGACCTGGGATAACGGACCCATGAGTTGTGTTATGCACAAGATCAGAACAAGGTCTACAGCTTCCCAGCATAACCCTCCACAGGCCAAAAGGACTCCTTTTTTTGTTTTTTTGCCATCAAATTGCAGCCTCCTGGTGACCCCAAATGGGGTTTTCAAGGCAAGAGGCGTTCAGAGGCGGCTTGCCACTGCCTGCCTCTGCAGAGCAACCCTGGACTTCCTTGATGGTCTCCCATCCAAATTCTAACCAGGGCTGGCCCATCTTAGCTCCTGAGATCTGACAAGATCGGGGGAGCCTGGGCCATTCAGATCAGGGGCCCAAAGAACTAAACGGGGGGGAATTGTAAAAAGCCAAGCGTTTTGCAATGCCACAAAAGCTCAGTGCATAACGATGGAAAAGACGACTGTGCCACAGTTGTTGCTTTCCCCGAGATTATGCCCACTGATGCAACCAGGACATCCGGGTTTGAATCACCTCTCTGCCATGGAAGCTCACTAGGTGATCTCAGGCCACTCACACACTCCCCATCTTGCCAGCCTCACAGGGTTGTTGTTGCAAAGTTAAAATGGAGAAGTGGAGAACACTATTGTAAGCTGTCTTGGGTCCCCACTGGGGAGAAAAGCAGGGTACAAACCACGGGTCGTTTCGTAGAAAAAGAGCTAGGGGAACTCATTAGCATAACTCATTAGCATATGCCACACCCCCTGACATCACTGGAAGTGTGTCATAAGGCCACACCCCCTGACATCACCGGAAGTGTGTCATAAGACCACACACCCCGCCCCCAATGGTCCCAGCCGGGAGGAGGAGAGCAGGGGAGTTGTTCCCAGACTCACAGGAGATAGCGAAGAGCGCTTTGATTCGGACGGCCTCGCTGGGATCGTGGTCCAGTAGCCGCAAGAGCTTCCTCATGCAGCCCAGTGCCAAAGCTTGTTCCTGCACCTTGGGCACATTTTGGGCACAGGTGCCCACCAGGTGGGCCGCTCGCCAGCGCAGCTCCTCCTCCTCGTGCTCCAAATAGCGGTGGGCCAGAAGCCGCATGCCCTCCAGTTTACAGAAATCTAGATGAGAGCAAAAAAGTGGGAGAGGTTGCAGAGGAGAATCACACAATGTTGCTGGGTCGGTAGTATTTGCAGAATACAACACAAGCTGTGGTGTTTGTTCTCCGGATCATTTCACCATAGCCCACAGGGAGCAATTCACCATACATACAGTCCCGAGATTTCCTCTCCCTTCCCCTCACACATGCGCATGTGTCCCCTGGGTGTCAGGGACTTCCCAAGTCAGGTGCAACACAGCAGGTGGTAGTGAAACACACCCAGATTTGAGTTGATGGGTTTACAGAAATCTAGATGAGAGCAAAAAAAGTGGCAGAGGTTGCAGAGGAGAATCACACAACGTTGCTGGGTCGGTAGTATTTGCAGAATACAACACAAGCTGGGGTGTTCGTTCTCTGGGTCATTTCACCATAGCCCACAGGGAGCCATTCACCATACATACAGTCCCGAGATTCCCTCTCCCTTCCCCTCACACATGCGGATGTGTCCCCTGGGTGTCAGGAACTTCCCAAGTCAGGTGCAACACAGCAGGTGGTAGTGAAGCACACCCAATCAGATTTGAGTTGATGACTTTTGCTGATGTTCAGGATCTCTGCTGGAGGTCGTGGCATCAGAATTGTGGATTATAAATGTCTCAGGACAGGCACTGGTCTGTTTCCCTCCCATCACTGTGCAAAGCTCCGCACACGCGGCTGTCACTATATAAATGATACTCGTGCATTCTGAAACCATGTTCCTCTCCCCAAAGAGGTAGAGTGTCTTCACCCCGGAAGGCTTTATGAAACTCCAAACAGCAAATTAAATAAAGTCACCCATTACTGCCGCTGTGAATAGTTACTGCATTTAATCTTGCTCGCAGTTGCTCTGCGCAGAACTGTTACAGACTGAGCCTCTTGATAAGAACATCAGAAGAATCAGAACTCTGGTCCATCTAGGCCAGCATCCTGTTTCACATTGGCCAACCCGAACAGGGCTTAGAGGGAAAGGCCTTCACCTGATGCTGCCTCCACGCATTGGCCTTTAGAGGCCTGCAGCCTCTGGATAATGAAGTTCGCTTTGGTTAGCCTGGAAAAGGAGGTTCTCTTTAGTCACCTGACCTACTAGCTGTTGATTGAAGGCCATCTATATTGGCCATCACTACGTCCTCTTCTAGTGAACTGCACAATTTAATGATTCACTGACTTCCTTTTGCTCATCCTGAATCGACTGCCCATCGACATCACTGTGGGCCCCAAGTTCTTGTATTATGGGACAAGGAGAAAAAGTTCTTACTACCCACTTTCCCCACCCTTGTATAATGTTATAAACCTCCATCCTCTCCCCCCTTGGTTGTCTTTTTTTTTTTTAACTGAGAAACAAGAGCCTCTTTAGCTTTTCTTCATCGGACAGGTGCACCATTGCCTTGGCTGACCACTTGATCCAAGGTGGTCTCCAATTTGTCCAGGTGCCTGAATTCAGCATCCCAGCAAAATGAAGCTTCATTAAAACAGGAAGGGTTCAATCAAGCTGTGCATGTGGTGGAGGAAGCAGAGCGCATGTGCCCAGAAAACAAGCCATGGTTGGGAACGACGCTAATAAACCTGTTTGTAGATTCAGGTGGGTAGCTGTGTTGGTCTGAAGCAACAGAACAAAGTTTGAGTCCCGTGGCACCTTTAAGACCAACAAAGTTTAATTCTGGGTATAAGCTTTCGTGAGCATGTACACTTCTTTTTGTGTGCATGCACATGAAAACTTATACTCAGGTAAACTTTGTTGGTCTTAAAGGTGCCACGGGACTCAAACCACTGTTTAATTAGAGTTTGCAGTGATGTCTGAAAGCGGCCATAATGTTTACAACACACCTGTGAAATCTAATCAATCTGCCAACAGAGGATCACTTTTCACACACTTCATGAGGTCAGCTCTATACCTCAAAGGTATGCCACAATAGTGTTAAAGAGGCCACAAGGTCTGTGTGTGTTGCGTTTGTAAACTGAAAGCCTGCTGCCATTCTTGAAATACACAGCTGAGCATAGCCTAGACCAATCTGGAAGATACTTTAACGCTTAAAGAGTTTGAAAAAAACCTTTGCACTTCGTCTGTTTTGTCCTACTCCAAATAGACTTTAAAGACTCTCCACTTCTTTGAATTCTTCAGGGATTTTTAACACAAGACGTGTTTTCAATCCACTTTCCGATTTCTCCATCTCTGCAGACCCTCTGCTTGGTAATCCTTCAACCCTCAGCTACCCATCATGCTCTTCGCACACTCTCCTGCACGTGCAGGGACACAGACAAAAACGAGGGAATCGCCATACCCGCAGCATTATCCAGGTTTTCACACAACTCTGCCAGAAGATCCAACGCTTCCTCTCTGTTTGCCCGGTCTGAATGGGCGTCCTCCAAACTCTCCTGGCTTCCCGTTCCAGGCGTTGTTGCCTCCAACACCCGCAAACACTCCTTCATCTGTTCTATCTCGTCCACTTGGCCCCGAAACGCCTCCACCATCGCCTCCTGCAGCCACTGCCTCCGCTGGGGAATCAACCAATGGCGGGGGGAAGGGGGAGGGAGAAACATAGATCAGAAAACCCTCACACACAAGACCCTCCTCTTCCCGCCAAGAGCCCATACTCCTTTCAGAAATACCCATGTGTCTGGCCATCCCCTGTCATTTTTGACCAAAGTCTTGACCTAAAGGACCCAGAAGTCCTGCTCCCCAGAATCTTCCACCCTAGCACCAGCCTGTGAAAAGAAGCGAAGTTTGATCGATCTTCAGGTTCCACAGCCGCTCCGAATTTAGGTACGTTTGCTGGCATTTGTTACAGGCTTCATTCCTGTACCGACAACAGCAGTTTGCCATGCAGACATCAGCTGGTAAGAGCAAGATTAGAGTCCAGTAGCACTTTAGAGACCAACAAGATTTTCAAAGGTAGAAGTTTTCAAGAGTCATTGCTCCCTTGTTGTTGGTATCTAAGGCGCTACTGGACTTGAATCACGCTCTTCTATTGCAGCCCCCAGGGCCGGCTCACCCACTAGGCGAACTAGGCATTTACCTAGAGCGCCGGGCCCTGGACGGGGCGCCAAGCTGTGCCTCCCCCCCTCCTCCCCCCCTTTGGTGGCGGCGGGAGGGAGGAGGCGGTGGTGGCAGCAGCAAAAGGGTGGCTGGCTCCAGAGGGCTCCAGGTCTCCAGGCCCCACCGGGAGGTTGGCATCTGCGCCATAAGGCAGCCTCGCCTAGGGTGCAGAAACACCTCGAGCCGGCCCTGGCAGCCCCATATGCCCACCCACCTGAAATTAGCTGGTAAGAATGCTTATCCAAAGGCACGAGATTGTAAGTAATGGTAACACAGGAAGTACACGGGGGGGCACCGCTGAACATGTCTCTATTTGCACTTGACTGTTTTGTATCGCCATCGATATTAATGCTTTTAAATGATGTATTTGTAATTTTATAAGATGTATATTGTTTTATTAGTTTTATGGGAGCCGCCCTGAGCCCCCCTCGGTGGGGAGGGCAGGGTAATACTCAAAGCAATAAATAAACAAACACAAGTGTCGTGTTTGCTTGTTTTTTAAAAAAATGTACATTAAGGCCCTGGGAATCTTTGCCTGCTGATTTCTACATATACACCTGTTCAAGGCACAGGAGAAATCTAAACTGTTGCTTTTCTCCCCCCCTTAACCATTTAGCAATCCCAACGGATTTGTGCACCCTTTGGGAACACAAGGGAACACAGATCTTTGCTGTGTTATTTTTATTTTATTTATTTAGACTTATACTGGCTCAGGGCGGCTTACAACAGAATAAAACACACAGACAAATTTAAATCATCCTAAAAACAGATAAAACATTTCAACATTCTAAACATTTTAAAGTGCTTTATGCGCACTAAAGCTTATGTGCTTTATGTGCACTAAAGCTTATGAAGCTTTGACGGATCAAGAAGCACTATTTATATTTACATGCACACACACCTCACATCAGGCCCATCGCTACAGTGGGGCATTTGGGACCCCGCCCCCTTAATTAAAAGCCCTGCCCCACAAACAGCCTTGAAGGGAAGGGCTAGAAACAGGCTAGGAGCCTTCCCCTTTAAAGATAGACATTCAGATTAATTTAATTAACTGTAATTGCACCCGTAAAAATTTAAATGCTCCCAAACAAAAAAAAAATCCTGGCTACGGGCCCGCCTCACATGGCTAAAAATCTGGCGAACCTTCAATAGGAATGGTAACAATCCCAGATGGATTTTGTGAATGAGACACACACCAGCAAACGTATAGTGCCCAAAAATGCAGTACTTATTGCTTGCTTAGATAGCTCTGAAGAACAGAAGAAACATATTTATTCTCAAAGAGCTGCAACAGTCTATCTGGGATTGCCAGCATTCCTGTGTGACAGCCACCATTCACGGTGATGTTGGTCTGGTCTATGCGTTCAGCAGAATGAGGCATGAGGTGCCTGCAGGCTTACCAAGTACTTACCTTGAATCGGCAGGGGACACATACGTCTTGTCAGGATAATTCCCGCACGGAAAACAAACACACCACATCATGCCATCGCCCAGACATGATGTCAGCACGCTGGGCACGTAGCTGGGCGACACTCTGGCAATGGAGCTGGAAACTCGATGGTACCATCGAGTTTCCAGCTCCATTGCCAGAGCATCGCCCAGCTACGTGCCCAGTGTGCTGGCATCACATCTGGGCGATGGCATGGTGCGGCGGGGATGTGTTCCACCGAGGGATGTTCCGGCCGGGAACCATGTGTCCCCCGCCGATTCGAAGGTAGGTACTTGGTAACCCTAGGTGCCTGAGCCAACAGTACAATTCCAGACCGCAGGCAGGAGAGAGGCCATGCCTGAATACTCCTGCAATTAAAACAAAAACTAACACAGTGGGGAGAACAGTTTTAGAGCAGGCTGCACCCTGTGGGACTTGCTTTCCATTTGCAGGGAACTTTGTAAACACAGGAAAGCATTAAAAAAAAAAGCCGAGGACTTTTTTGCAGACTGGAAAGATTTCAAGGAATACTTGGAAAAAAACTGGGATGTAAGGGACGGTTTATTTAGCTTTGACAATTATTGAAGGCAATAGATAATAAAAATAGAGTAGGATGTATTACTCAAATAGAGAAAGATAAGTTACCTATAGATATGTGTAATCAATTAGAGAAAGTGTGGAGGAAGAAGACCTAAGAATTGAACAGGAGGTTGGAGCACTGTGGGAAGCCGCACGGGGGGATGGGGGGGGGGGGGGTGGAGGGTATGATGGATTAGGGTTAAAGTTGTGATATATATTTGACTATGTTTTTAATATCCTAATAAAAATGGTGTTTTGTTTTTTTTAAAGGAAAGCATTAAAAAGAAATGCAGCTCCATCTCTCGCTACTGGAGAGCTGAAGACACTGGGGATTTAAATTTGGAACATTCTACACGCACTGGATTTGTTCCACAGCCTGTGCCCAAACTTTAGCTTTAACTAACTGGTGCCCCCATGTGCTTGACGACAAGAAAACAGGAGTCTCAGATGCACGTCTTCACATATGTATGCACCCGACCTAGATATAACCGTTTGATCTTGCTTCCTCTCCCTCTGAATGGAGCTGTGTACCTCATTGGACATGGGCTCCAGCGGGGCGGACTCAGCATTCCCTGCCATGACTGCCATCTGCAGCAAGCCCTGAAGGTTTTGGGGAGGCTCACGGGGAGGCTGGTTCCCACCGGCGCCCCCTTCAGCCATGGCTGGGGTCTGCAGTTTCCGTCAGGAGACAACTCACGGCTCTTTCAAGGAAAACAAAGAAAGGGGATGAACAATCACAGAGAACCTCAAAATCTCCCCCAAGTTAACCCATCCACCAGAGAACCAAGGTGCTCTGGCTCCAGGTTCAAGATTACACACACTGCTACCAAGAGGATCTAAAAGGCTTGCCCTCTAACTTTCTACATTCAAGAGAACCCATAAATTCTGGCTACCTCTCTCCTACTGCCTGCCAACCACCCATGCCTACCAGAGCCCTCTCTGGGCCACTTGGTGTTCAGCGGAGGGCCTTACCAAAGGCTTTGGAGATCTTTTCCCCTGCCACAATCACCTCGAGTGAGCCAGGCAATTTCTTCCCGCCTCTCCTAGGCCCAATATAAAACATAGGTTTGACAACAGCTCCAAGTGGGACCTGGGGATCCCCCAGAATTACAGCTCATCTCCAGACTACAGAGATCAGTTCCCCTGGAGAAAATGGACGCTTTGGAGGATGGGTTCTATGGCACTGGGCCCCACTGAGGTCCCCGTCCTCCCCAGGCTCCACCCCCAAATCTCCAGGTACAGCCTCCCATCCCCTGCCAGTGCGGGGGGGGGGGGCATGGGAACCCTAATAA